ACGTTTCACTTGTTCGCGTGGCAGCAGTAAACGTTTCCTCTCACCTCGCCTCCCATTCAACATCATCTTTTTCTTTTTCTTTTTTTTTTTAAATGGCACTTTTAGACCGGGAGTAAGTGGTACAGGGAGCAAAGGGTTGGGAGAAGTGACTGTGTACTGTTCTCCCAGGTCTTACTGCATCCCCAGCTTTATTTTGCCATTGTTGTACACAACGTGTATGGAGCAGAAAGCTACATGCCTACGTTTTCAAACGGGGCAGTGATTTTGAGTTCCCATATTGGGGCACCTTAAAGCCACATCTTCTTTCAGACAGTGCTGAGCATCTGCCCTCCAACAATCCGTTTCCTTAAGTTGGGCACCCAAAATCACTTGAAATTTAGACTATTAATTTGAGGACTTTTCACAAATGTCTTGAGGTCCAGTATAAAGACAGTAATTATATAGTCCCATAGAGATGCATAGCACTTGACGGGTAATTAAAAGGCACAGTACTGGCCCCAGGGAGATTACAATGTGAGTTAAATAAAAAATGCAACAACAAAGTACGTGGAAGAGGGGTGGGGAAGCAGAGGGTCCAACAGGAGTAGAGAGCTGCTCTGTAAAGTGCCTTCAGACTAGCTTTGTATGAAGGGACTTCAGGCTACACTCTGAACGCTGTCTCTATTCACTGAGCGTTGGGGTCTAAGGGGGGGGGTACTGCTGGAGAAGGAAACGGGGAGCCAAGGAAAAGCGTAGACAGCTGTAGTCAACTGAACACAACAGATGCAGGGCAAAACATGGTTAATGCTGACAGAGAGCTGGGGCAGCGAGTCCAAGAAGCAAACTGCTTAGTTTAGGAATTCAAACTGAAGTCAATTCAAACCTGAGTAAGTGGCAGAAGCTTTGTTGTGAGCCTCGCCCAGGTTTTATCGCTGCTCAAGATGTATTTGCGGGTGCCGACCTGTCTTAAAAAGCGCTAGATACTGACAATTAGCAAAGATTTGCTGGTCCTGGGAACCCTCCCCATTGCATGGTCATGTCCATGAGGGCTAATTGTGATGCGTTCTCCATGCCTGCTGGTACATTGCGAGGGCACTCTCTTTTTGCACCAAAGGGAAATTAGGGTACGAGTAGAAACAAAAGATTTTTAAATCTGAAAACTGTTTTAACGTGCTGGTATGCTTAAGAAAAACTGTGTGTGCTTGTGTGCTTTAGTGGCCCATTTCAGTCCAAGAACAGCATTTAAAAACAGTCTGCTAAATGAGTGGGGGTGGCGGGGGGACTTGCTTCCCCATTTCCTGGGTTGTATTCATAAAACTGCTGTAGTTTACACCCTGTCTTCATTCCTGAGTTAGAATGTTCCTTTCCCAAAAGCAGAAAGGACAAAGGTGTGTGTGTGTGTGTGGATTTGCTAGAAAAAGTCCATTTTGGAATTAAATGCTGAAACGGATAAGCCAGTGCAGTATCAGGGGGTGATACCAGCTTGTGTGGCTGAGTTTATAGCACACTTAGGCACCTGCTAGTCACACCCAGAACCCTATCCAATAATGCCATTAAATACACAAGAATTGAAAGCATGGAAATAGTCCAGCTGTAAGAGGCTCATGATGAAGTCAGTGCCTGGAATAATTAGCCCTCCCACCTGGGTAGACACACAGTCATTGTCTGACCTGCCCTCCCCACCCCCTTCACTCCAGATAAAATTGCTTCCCATCCTCGCTTCTGTTGGGGTCCATATCTCATATCCTGAGGGAGCCTGAGCCTGTCTTTATTCCTTGCCTGCTTGCAATAGCCCTGATACACCTCCGAAGAATTTGAGTGCTACTCCAGCTGTAATAGACAGGATCAAAGCCGCCTGGGGTGAATTAGCATTGCCACTGGAGGGTAGACAGTGGGTAGAAAATAAGCGGGTTCAGGACCTCTGGGGACATTTAGCTGGGTTGCAGGAAAAGATTTTGCTGTTTTAAGCTGTGCACTCAGGGCGGGGGCACTTGCCTCTTGCAAATGATGCCCTTGCTTTAACTACATACCACAGATGCATTTTTAAGGGCTTTGGTCTGTTTGTCTCTTAGAATTGTTTTGATGCTAACACACGACTGTTTTACGAGTGTGGCAACCTAATCCGTTAATAGGTTTATATAGAACAGCTGTCAAAATGTATCTATAATGAGCCACGTACGGGAGGAGGATGAGCGTAACTGCTGATCTGCAGCAAAAGTCTTCCTAGTGTCTTTTCATTGACATTACTGCTACTGAGGTCGGGCCATCATTTATCCGGGTTCTGTGGCAGCGCTAATATCGGCAATGGGACCATACAAAAGATTGAGACCCAGCATGTCTGAGTTGATTTCCACTTCCGTTGCCTTCATGTGACTGATGAAGATTTGCTGCTGATTTTATCCAGGGTTTTCTGTGTCCCCCATTTAAAAAAAAAAAAGGCTAAATTAAAATAAAATACTCCCCACCCTTTTCTTGTTGTGCTATCCAGTAAGTAAGGGAAAGATTTGGGACCAGATCCTCAGCTGCTGTCAATTGAAATAGCTCCACTGACTTTACACCAGGTAAGGACCTAGCCCTTTGTGATTCGTTAGAGAGGTAGAATGGTCTGTGGTAAAAGATCTGAGTTCTAGTCCCAGCTCTGCCATTGACTTCCTGTGTAACTGTGAGCAACCCATTTATTCTCCGTGCCTCCATTTCCCATTTGTACATTAAGCGGTGTTATCCTGTCTCCCTTTTGGAAAGGGCTTTGAGATCCTTGGATAGGAAGTGTCTAGAAACGGGCCACGTATTTTGTGTTTAGATGTGGATATGCGTGGTGCTTATCAAGGAAGACGTGGTCTTGCTCTGCCCCAAGGAATTTGCAATCTAAATGGACCAAGTCTGGACATCCAAATTCATTAAGAGCCTCAGGAGACAGCTCTCTAGTTCTCTCTGAACCTTTCTTTCCTTTGTTAGCCTTTGGTTATGAACATGACAGAGGTTGTCCCCAGGCTAATGCCAACATAATCTGTTTTTGATCAAACCTTTAAGGGGAAACTGTCTGGGTCACTTCAGATCGCATCTAGTCTCTTGCTTGCTTTTTGTCTACAGGAAAGACTATGCTACGCCTTCATAAAGCTTTTCCTTGCAAGAGACTGAACAAATTTGAGCTATGATGCCACAGCTCTGCAGACTGATGGTCAGATTGTCAGGGATTGCTTACTGTACTTGAATTTGTTAGGGACATCAAGCTGTAAAGACTTCTCAGAGTGTCGGACATCGTGCAGTGGTTGAATTATAGTATTGATGGCAACCTATTGCATGTTTTGCAACAGGTGCCAGGTGTGTGAGCGTGGTTAGCTTCCCAAACTAAATCTGTGTACTTACTGTTGTCATATCGGGTAATAAGGCCAGAACAGCATGTGCTTTGAATATTTACAAACATACAAATAAAATTTGACTCCACATGCAAACACAGCCCGTTCTATCCACTTCCTCGTTTAAGTGACACTTGCAACTGTCTTCCTGTGGGGAAATATGAAATGTTCAGATAATGCTCAGGGTACCATTACCAAATACAAGCTTCTTGGAACAAGAAACATTCTTGCGGAGCCACAATAGGGAAACAACTTGCTGAAGTGGTGGGGTCCAATTCAGTGGAGTTGTCCCACCAGCATCGTGTAGTAGCTTGAGTAACTTCTGGAACCACAGAACTTTGCATGGTTATGTCGGCAAGAACTGGAAATCCCAAGCACTGGGATTCTCTGCTGGATTCTCTTCTCAGCTCTCTGTTGAAATCCAGTAGTCCTGTTTCTGTGTTCTTCTATTTGTATTGATGGTAATCAGGCTAGAAACAAGCGAAGGCAGCGCACTTTCAAATGAGGTGCAGATGCCTGTGAAACAGTTCCCAGATACAGGCCTAGTTAGAATGCCAAGACCTCTGGCCTCCTGTTGGTAATAGCAGCAGTGGGCAGCCTCTAAAATAAGTGATGCTTCACACTGTAGTTCCAGAGAGTTCCGGCAAGGCCTGGAAAGAGGCTCTTATTAACCAGGTAACAGAGAGTTTTCCTGGGAAACCTATGGGTGTTAATGTCCTACCTTTTTAGGGAGAGCTGCTGTACCACTGTTGGATAAATCCATCTCCCCATCACCCTGGGCTTGTCTGATTTCGAATGCTTGTCCCTGTAGATTGGAAGCTCCTCTCGACAGGGACTTTGTTCCACAGCTACGTGAAGGAATTAGCAACTGTCCAGGTCTTTGGCTGATTGATACCGAATGGGCCTGCAGGTGGTCTGGAAAACAGCTGCCTGCGGAGAATCCTTAAACTTCTGCCTTGATTCTCTTCTGGTTTAACTACACTCTGTCTTTTTAAGTGAATGTAGGGTTTGTGAAGGGTGCCCAGTTGGCAGGCCTGGAGACTGACATTCTCTGCTTATAAACCGCTAGGCCTGCAGTTCTCGTTCTCCCTCTCTCTCTCTCTCTCTCACACTCACACACACACCCCTACACCTGCACGTGTAGATAGGATACATACATATGGTTATTCTCTCTCTCTGGAATTGCTTCATATTCTTACACCAAAGCTGGTGCCTGCTGCAAAAAGTAACATAGGAGGGCAATGAATTAATCAGCAAAAGGGGCTGTTGTCATATCCTTGTGCCATCAGATACCTAAGCCCACAGTACTTGCTACTTCAGTATGCTAATCTTTTAGGATTCTGAGTCCCAAACTTGTGTGTCTCAGTTAAATAGACCGATCAATGTGTAACCGCTCAGCAGTTTAGAAAATGCCCCTCACTCCCTTCCTTCTTTTCTAGGAATATCCTTCTGTGCAGTTGTTTTGGCAGTAATAAAAGAATGAGTCATACATGTTAAACAACATTTTCATCTGGGCTGGTGAAAACAGTCGCCTATGAGGCTTACCAAGACCTGCACTCTCTCTGGCAGGAATGTAGGTTTAATACGAGAAGCCAGAGTCACGCTGAGGCTTCACCAGAAGCTGGGATCAACCTGCAATTGTCACTGCGTCTCCTTCTTCTGCAGGTTATAAAGCCTTGAAGGCGTTGCTGAGAGCATTAGTGGACCTCCAGGATGAGCTGCTCTATCAATATCCAGGCACGAGGCATCTGGTAGATGGGAAGCAATCAAAAGTGGAGAGGTAAATACAGAACAAGACTGGGTCTGGGCCTTGCTAAAGCCAATCTGGCAGTTAACTTTTTAAATAGGAAAACATAGAAGGTTTGACCTTCGCCATCTCAGCTCTGCTCCCCCAACTCCTACTGTGTGGGTAATGGACACAGCGAACAAATGGCATTTGAACGTCTCCTGTTTTCACCGGGAGCTTGTGTTTTGTCATTTCTTTTGGTGGCGGGAGGGAGGGTTCAGCGACTTGACTTCTGAATAACTAACAGAAGATGGCAAGATGATCAGCAGAGGAGTTGCTGTTAAAGAGAGTTTCCAAATCGTTGCCTCAAAGTGTTTCTATTTTTTATTTTTTATTTTAAATGTCTAGTGATGAGGAGATCCCCAGTGGTAGTGATGAAGAGATGGGAGGTGAGGATCAGATGAGGTGGAAAGGCCCCGCTAAACGGAAGCTAGAGATGGAAGACTATCCAGAATTCATGGCTAAGCGATTTGCTGACTTCAGAACGTATCGGAACAACACCTTGCAGAAGTGGCATGACAAGACCAAACTAGCTTCTGGCAAATTGGGGAAGGCAAGTGTGTATGTGTGTGAGAGAGAGAAATTTACCGGAGACGTTGGGACAGCAGCCGAAGTGTTTCATGCCATTCATACATAGGAACATTCCTTGTTCCATCTAGAGTTACAATAGTAAGAATTAAAACACACGCCCATGACAAACAAAAAGTCCCCAAAGCTTTTGGAAGGGATATAAGGCCTCATGCTTCAAAGCCATAAGCCAGGTTCTAAGTTGGCAGGGTTAGGAGGAAATTTTCCCCATGGGCAGATTACTTCAGAACTGCCTTCTATCGTGTTTCTCACACTTTCCTCTGAAGCAGCTGGTATCAGTCCGTTATGAGCTGGAGACAAGATACTGTTTATGGTCTGTACATTTCCCTATTTACTTCATGATTTATTGTAAATACACAGACCTGAACACTTGAATTCAGCTGGCAATTCATTTTGTCCTCAGAGATCCAGGGCCCAGCATGTAGGGGTTAATATTAATCATTGAGAAGTTTGTCTGAGCTAGAACAGTGAAGCCTGTCTATTAAGCCAGGCTTTTAGTCTTTCCTCAGGCAGTATTCTTTTTGTTTGGTTTATTTTTTGTTGGGTTTTTATTATATATATATATATATGTGTGTGTGTGTGTGTGTATTAAAAAAAACAACAACAAAAATCCAAACTCAAACTCCTCCAGTAGGAACATTGTCTGCTTATCCACTGACACGGAAAGATAAAGGAACATTGCTGCCTTGAGCAGCAGCTTTCTGTATTATCTGACACTAGTTAATGTTGTTGCAGGGTTTCAGTGCCTTTGAGCGTTCAATCTTGACTCAGATTGATCATATTATGATGGACAAAGAGAGATTACTACGGCGGACACAGACTAAGCGATCTGTGTATAGGGTCCTTGGAAAGCTGGAGCAGGAATCTCAGCCCGTCCCCGAATCATTGCCCGGATGTTCGGTAAGAGTTTTTGTTTCCAATGGAAGTGATGAAATTCTCTGCAAATGAATTAAATTGATCCTTTAACAAGTAATGTTCTTGTTGGTGTAATGGGTGATGAAGTAACGCTATTTGTAATTTAATGGATTAAAAGATGATGGAGGTGCTTTTTGTATTTCACAATGTTTGTGTTGGTTCCTATGCTTATTCCTGATAGGCAGAGCAAGACTCCAGGTTGGACCATGCCAGCACTTTACCCTGATCCTGCAATAGGTGTCAGTTCTGTCACATAGCCTGTATTCTGCTTTATAAAGAAGCAACTGCAAAATTTGGTCCAAATAATGGGGTTTAAAGCTCTTGACCAGGAAGTTGGAACCAAGAATCACATTGCATTTCACCTCCAAAATATTCTAAGTGTCTACATCAACTTAGTATTTAAGAAATAGTAAACACTCAGCTGTAAAAATTAACGTAGAATTATTGCACTTGCAAAAATATTTTCCCCACTACATTTAAATCATAGGCCCATATATGCGTTGAGGCACAACTACATTTAAGTACAGCAATGTGTCAGAGATATCATATGCAGGTTGTGCTTGTTTCATAGGGAATCATAAAACCAGTTCTGTATTGGCAGTCTTTTTCCATTTCCTTCCCATGTTTTAGAAGTCCTTTAATCCTATCCTTATAAATAATCAAATGCTTAAAAACTTCCTGTAATGGAAGGTGTTCACCATTCCACCATGCTTTCAAATATTTGTGAGGTTTACATGGTGTCATTGAGGTCGGAGATGGAAAAGGCCCATTGAGTCCTTTCATCCAAACCATTATTAATCCGCGATAGCTCCCTGTTGTACGCTTACTCATTTTTTTGTCAAGTTGAATTAAAAATGGGGCTTCTACCACTTCTCCATAGAGTCCTTTCTACAGCCTAATACATCTAGATCTTGTTCTAATGGGTCCCAAGGCTGTACATATTGAAGAACATAAGGTGCTGAAAATATGGATTAGGGAAGTTCACTGCCCAAATCCACCAAAAGTGTGTTAGACTTGTTTTAAGATATGATACCATGTCTGGGTGCTGCCCGAAGCATAGGCACACGTGGGCTTATAAACATTCTCTCTGCTGTTCCAGGAGGTCATCCCTCAAGCCAAATCCAACACGCACCTAAAAGACCTGGATGAGGAGATCTTTGATGACGATGACTTTTACCACCAGGTGGGTCTCTGGAAATCTTTTCTCTGTCTCATGGCTCAAGTTGGCTTTTAGTATTTCTGAAGTTAATGCAGTAAATTCTCAGCAGTAAGTTCTTCTGCCCAAAGATTCCTCTTAGAGAAACACCATGTTAGTTGCTTGACTGGACATCTGTAATCTCTACCTATTATCCTTGTTTCATGATGTCCAAAGGTTTTAACTCTGAAATCGCTATGCAAGACTTTATCTGTCAATCCTTCAGTCCTGCCTCATGGGGAGCAGTCTTATGGACTTCATTGAAACTACTGTACCCATGTGGATCAGGCTTGCTGAATCAGACCAATCTCTGTAGTTCTCACTGGTGATTATTGCTTACAAAGAGGAAATCACAGGAGTTTCTACTGGTGAATATTTTAAAGAAAAAACAAATGCTTATGTGGGTGGGAAAGCCCCATCACAAATAAAATTTTTGAAGTTGCTCAATGGTACATTAGTTACCCTCATCCAAACATAAAACCTGTCTAATCGGCGTGAAGATTGAAAGTGCTGCTGGGCTCCCAAAGCGCTTTCCCTACTGAGGCAGGGAGACTACACACACTACTCTGGCGGCTGCAGACTGGGGTGATCATTGTGTTTGTAATTCAGTTAGCAAATGATAATGTCAGCCACATAAAATGCATACTGGAAATTACAGTGCTTTGAAGTGATTTGCTAAATTAAGTCCTGGACCAGTGCCCAAAAAAATATTGCTGGTCCAAGGATCCAGAGATGGTTTTAACATCAGGACTAAACAAATGCCGTTCTATTATTAGAAACCTGAAAATCTTAACTAGAGAAGCTCATTAGATCAGCAGGTAAAATCATACGACAATTGGAGTATGGAGAAGGGAGGTGGAAATATGTGATTTTTAGGGCCTGATAACTAATTCAACTAGACTAGTAGACTTTTCCAATACATGTCCTGGGCTACCAAACAGAATGAAAACATTTGCAAAGTAGGTACTTATTGTCAACATTTTACAGATTGGAAGAGCACTGAGAAATGTTAAGGGGGTGATTTTTTCAGGAGTCCTCAGCGTTGTTCTAAGTCTGCTACTATTACCATCAATGGGAGTTTTATTATTGACTTCTATGGGAGCAGAGTTAGGACAAAGCTAAACGCTTTTGAACATCTCACCTGGTAAGCAACCTGTTCAAGGTTACACAGGACGCAGGTGGCAGAGCAGGGAATGGAACCTGTATCTTTTGATTCCCAGGACTGTGTGTTACGATACGAGCATCCGTCCTAGCCCTGGGGTGAGTTGAACAGCATTTCCATGGCAGGGAGGGACTCAGCAACTCCTGCACTGGAGATTGGATCCCTCTGCACACTTTCAAATGCAGAAGGGGGCTGTTGAGTAGCAGTGATTGGAGGGCCAGATCTGTGATGTTAGTGCTGAATATTGGTGTGAGATAATTCTGAGATGCAGACAGATCTGTTCCCATCTTCAGGAGTCCAAGTGTGCAACAAGAGGATATTGCAGATTAAATCAGCATAATAAAATACCGAAATGAACAGCGAGAAATAGCCCCGACTGGCAAACCTTAGGCCTGTACTGTGGGGGTTTTCTTGGCCCTGAAATGTTAAGTTTTTAAAGAAAAATTGCAGTAGTTGAATGGCCCTTCCTCCTTACTAATAATTTTAACTTCGATACATTCTGATTTCAGAATTATGACTAGTCACATTTTAGCTTTTCCCCTCACTGGTTAATTGGGGTGCTGGGGTTAATCTAAATTAAAACTTAAACTAATAGAGGTCATTGAGGGAAGAGGAACACCTGAGTAAAACAAATGGGGCTGCCAGGAACAACTGTATCTTGGCCATTTCCCAAGAGGGAAGTGGCAGCAAATTGGAGTTGTTTCAGCGTTCTGTAGAGGTGAATGATGGGTGACACTCGTTTAATGTACGGCATCTCCGGAAACATTCCAGATTGCATTACTTGCTGTACCAACTGCTGCCGCCCGCACACAGCGAATAGGAACGGGGACCAATCGACAACATCTGGCGGCACAGCAAGGAATGGGTGCAACTCTTGAAACCCCATAGACTCTAAATATGGTGCTTAGGACTGTGGAGGCTTTAATCACTTACCACTCTTTGGCAGCAGGCTACGACAGCTTATCCTAGCCTCGTACATCACGCACAGACATCTGCTGAGCCGCGAGGCAGCGACACATTCATTTTCCTTTCTTGCTTTTTTTTTTCCTTTCTCCCCTTCTCCCTCCCTCCCTTCCACCCTTCTCCTCTCCTCTCCTCCCCAATATGCTTATTGGGAGAGATGATCTGTAAAGATTACCGCTTCATTGTGTGCAAGTAATTGTGGGGATGCCAGCCCCTTGACAGACACAGCGTAGCACCTGTTCCGCTGACCTGGTTAATTTCTTCTGTTGAGTGGGATTTGGCAGAGATTGGAGCTGAAGCCAATTCAGTGATAAGGCTAAAGAAAATGGCTGTATGTTTTCTGTCACCTCCCAATTAAATTGGTTTCATAAAGTGCTTTCCTTTATTTGTCAGGGTAGTGAGCTGGAGCTGAGTGTTGCATTCAGAAGGGGTAGAATGTATTCCAATAGACCCGTGACAATACAATGAATGTGGTTTCTTTCCAGCGGGTCATACGTAAGCGCATGCGTGTGTGCGTGTAAATAAAATATAAAAAAGGACCTGATATTTCAGAAGTAACGAGCGCCCACAACTCTAAATGATGATTGTGGTAGCTCAGCACCTCTAAAAGTCTGACCTTGCGCATTTCAGTGTTTTTTAATTATTTAAATTTATAACTAAGCTATTAAGACTCCCTATTTTTTAAATGCCATTTTATTATAATATTGCACTTTAGTTACGTATTATGTTTATTAAGGGTCAAATACAAGTTCAAGTGCAAGTTATTTCCCCCTGTCTTCAGTCATAGGAAGGACATTAGGCTCACAAGTCAGTGACTAAAGCGGAGTTGAGACAGTATAAATATACATACTGTATTGTTATAGGTTACGGTCCTGGAATCTTAAGATTCCACAGCTCCTGTGGGAAAGCAGTCTCGTCTTTTACAAGCCCTCAGTGGCATACAGTGGAATTCACCTTGCAGGGCAGGTGGAATTTTAGGATTCAGGACTCAACAATTTGTGTTTCATCCGTTCACCCCGCTTCCTCCATGTTTGCTCGGTTGTTTTGCAAGCAGACAAGCCTTTCGCTGTCTCATAATGATTTTTATGCTGGTGACCCACATTGAGTTGTAATGTACAGCCATGAGAGAGACGTGGGACTGAACTCCTTTATTTAGGCTACGCCAGAGGAGAATAATTAAGCAGCTTTAAAAAGATCCTGATTACTTAGAGCAAGGGATGTTGAACCCCATTTCACATACCGTTTTAAGGCAAAAAACTACTTTTTTTGGTTTGTTTTTTAAAAAGCCATGTTTATGTAGAATCCCTTACAGATATTGCAGCATTAAGACTTAAAAATCCAGCCTGCTACCAGAGTGCTGCTAGTCTAACGTGCCACAGTGGAGATTTTATTATTAGGATGAAATACTCCCCTAGAAGAGGAGAGAGCTGAAATTGGTTTATCTCTAACAGGAATTAGGTTAATGTTCATATGCTAAGTGTTCCACTGGTAGCAACTCTGCCCAGAACAAATGTTCGTCACTGATGGCAGCAGGTATGCCTAGGGAAAATTAATAATATACATAGCTGTTATTCCCACCCTCCCTCCAGCTTCAGTTAAACTGTTTGGCACTGCCTCTCATAATGGCCTGGAGCCATATTATCTTGTGCTGTGATTGTCTCATAAACTAAGTATGGTCACTAGTTGGATGGGAGACTCCAAGGAAAACCTAAGGTCTTCAGCCAGTGATAGTGGCAGGTCATTAGATGCCTGTTAGTTAGTACTGTTTCAGGGGCACTTGTCCTAAACTGTTAAACATCTGCTGTGTTGTTCCACCCTAGAGATGGATGCATTTTATCGTTTGGCATATAGGCCCAGCTGCTGAAAGGTATTTAGGTATCTAACCCCTGAGTTTGGTGCCTAAATACCTTTGAGGATTTGGGCCATGGATCTTTATATCCCTCACCTACTCATAGTTAGTTTGTAAAGTGCTTTGAGATCATCAAAGGTTTCTTTTATTTTCTCCACAGAAAGCTTTGCATCTGCATGTGTTAACTACCTTCCTAGTATTATTGTCCTTAGTGTACTTGTCTACATGATCCAGTGTTACAGATGCTCAATGTCTGTATTTTAACAATGCATATAAAAATAAGTTAAGTGTTTATCTCACTAAACCTCCTGTTCATGTCTAGTTTTTATCCAAAAGAACTATTTAATCTGAGTTTGTGACAAAACAGCTTCCAGATCTCAAACACTCATTAGGATGTTTCTGGCTCAGTTTACTTTCCTTCTGGGTTGTAGAGTGATTTAAATCGTAACAGTCTGGCTTTTTAAAAAAAACTTAATTTGACGACATAAATTTATCCTCAGGTTCCAACTAAGGGTATGTTTAAAACTGTTCCTGGTCACATACTGTGTTTTTTCTTTTTGTCTCACAGGTATTTGATAATGCCATAAACAAGTAATTACTAATCCAGTGAACTATTAAAAGTCAATAATGGTGAAGAATAGAGAGAAGGCTAGTTTTCTGACAAGCTGGTTTACCTTAATTAAACTGTTGAGTGATTAATATGGACAGCTGATCTTGTGGCTTTAATTAGATGCATTTAGAGTTTTGTGTGAATAAGAGATGTCTCGAACCATCCCATAGGTTAATGGCAATACAATACTCTTATCATAGGCATGTATCTTTCAAATGTCTCAGTAGATGGTTAATAACACGTTTTAAAGCTTGATTTGAAACTTCTCCTAATGGGTTATTAGAAAACGGAAACCCAGCATCGTTAGCCTTTTTTCCATATACAATTGAATTTCCATAGAATATTTAAAAAAAAATAGTCAAGTGGTTTAGTCCTACAGTTTAGGTTTTTGCATTACAAAATAG